CTGCACATGCAATCGTAATGGAGAAGGTTTTTAGGTATGAGTTGGTTTTCAATTTATATTGGAGTAGCCGGGAAAGGGATCCGTACAGGTGGGGGGAGAGACTGATGGAGATGACGTGGCAGTTTCTTGAAAGCTGACGTGGCTAAATTTCTGGCTCCTTTGCCCGTTTCTTATTCCACCGAGTTTTTTTTTTTTAAAGGGACAAAATAGATTAATTTGGTATTTTCGTGACCAAAAAAAAAAAAAAAGAGATTAATTTGGTATTTTACGGAAATTATAATTTTTTATTGTTTCTTCTATTAAATACAAAATTTTGACCGATAAATATAAAATTTTACTATACATGATAATTTTATCGCTGGATGAAAAAGAATAATCACAAAAACGAATTGAAAGTCATCAAGTGTTGGTTAAAAAGTTATGTTATATTTTTTTGTATCGTTATTTAAAAAGGTCATGTATTTTGGGTTCTTTCAAAAGTTTGTGATATGGTCTACTTTTTTTGGGTTGATGTTGGCACACAAAGAGTTTATTGGGAGAGAACGAGGCAAAGAACAAAGAAAGGACGGCCAAGAACAAAAGCGTTCGCTTGCCATATTACCTGAAATAGACCTCCAATTATGTAACTATTATGAATCGTAAAGATACTACTATTTGTTGTTAAAAAAAAGGACAGTACTATCGTTATTTTATAACGAAATATCCCGATAAATTGTAAATCATGTGAAAAAAAATATTCAAAAAAAAAACATATATATTTTTGTCATATAATAAAACATTAATACGATATTGGTCATGATCGAAATTGCCATAAAAAGATTCGAATACAAACTAGTGTAATTGCCATAAATATTTTCCCGCGAAAAAATTAAAATGCGGAATATTAATGATGTAACTATTTACGGTATATGTAAAATCTGAATGCGTAACTAATAAATGATTATTTTCTTCAAAATGTTATAAAATAGAAGCTAAAAAAAAAGGGTATAAAATAGTTTTTTTTTATTTAAAAAAATGGTTTATCTTCATTAGTGACAAAAATAGAAAATGTTTATATATAGTTGGTTTGTCTAGTATTATCTGTCAGAATTTTATGTGGAAGAACATGATTAGAACGTAATTATGTTTACCATTCTCCGTTTTTTGTTTTCATATTTAACATTTGCTATATTAAGAAAAATAACTTATATACACCATATTATATTCCGTTTTGATCTCTTTTGAATATCTTTCGAAATCATATATGCTATATTCTCTTTATTTATGGTATATGCAGCTAATATTTTTTATTCTGTTTACTTATTTAGTAACTGGTATTACATAGTAATGTAAATAAATTGATTGTTTCTTTTTATGTCTTTTACACCAGACCAAACTCATGAGTCATGATGTCAATGTCCATGTCCATGAGGCCCGTGGAAGATGATCTAAGAGATGACGTATAAAATAATACTAATCAAATTGATTATTATCTCGAAGATATTAATTCCTCTATATAAGACCTTCTACTATTGTCGTTGTTCTCATTTTGACTTCTACATTTGTTTACAAGTCAATAATCGACTAATAGTTAAAAAGGTCCTTTCTACGTGACTTAGTCACAAGATTCACAACAATAAATTACATTATATAAAAAGAGAGAAAGTACTGGTCTTTAAACGTATTTTAATTAGAGCTAATCATCTCCTAATATCCAATGTAAGATGATGTATACAATATCGTAAGATAGTTTATTATTCACATCCAAGTTGTTATAAATTGTATTTTAAATGACAAGTGTTAAC